CCCCCCCCCCCAGCGCTCAGCGGGCCGGGCGCCTGTCCTGCTCCACAAAGCCCTTACGCTTTCCCAGGGTAATAACATCTCCAACTTTTGTTCTCTGAAAATAAAAGCAAACAAACAGCTGTAGTTTAAAGCAATTATAAGTGTCATACAGGAACGATTTGGCTCTCTCTTTAATTAAAACATACAAATCAGACCAGTGACTGGCACAAGTTACAAGAACAATTGTTTGTTTTCACCCATCCCTCAATTTCTTTCAGTAAAAAAAAAAAAAACCTTCTCTCCGGCTCTGGAGCCCTTCACACCCAGCTCAGAAACTCAACACAAACCAAACCCTCTAAACCATCCCCATCCGTCCACGAACTCCAGTTTTGTTTTGCTTTTTTTTTCTTTTTGGTACAAAATATATATATAAAAATAGACTAAGTTTCTAGGGAAGATGGCTGAATTGGCCACCTCTTCCAGTCCAATGGAAAACAACAAGTATGCTTAACCAGATTATGCCTGGAGAAAATATCCATTCAATATACAAATACAGCAGGACTTTCCACATCGGAAACCCCTTAGAAAATGACAAGTGACAAACCTTTAATTGGCTGTTTGACACACGGCTGAACACTCCAACCCATAGCAGCAAACTTAAAAAAAAAAAAAAAAGGAAAAAATAAAAAAAAGAAGAAAAAAAAAAGGTAGACCTTGAATACTAATGGTACTGACTGGTAAACAGGGTCTGCACCGGCTTTCAACCCCTGTCCACAAAAGATTACAGTAAATCACTCACATAATGTGCCTTTGAGAGGCAAACTCCAACAGGAACCGGTGGCTCAGACGCCCCAGCGCCGCTGGGAGAGCCCAGATCCTGGAACACGAGGTGGGGAAGGGGCTGGGGAAGGAGCGCGGGAGGTGACGAAGGTCAAAAAAAAAAAAAAAAATTTCTGGATTATCATTTTCACCATCCTTAGACCTTTGGAATCGAAATCAGCTGGTGAGCAAAAGGCACAATAGCAAGTGGTGACAGCAGAGTCCTGCTGCTAAATCCGGCCGGGGAAGGGTGGGTGGTGGAGGAAAGCCCCTCACCGTCAGGACACGCACTCCCCTGGGTGCCAGTTTGGGCTCAGTGACTTTTTGCCCGGCCGTGAGGCAGGAATGAGCCCCCCCGCACGCAGAATCACACATGAGCTTCCACAGGGGCTCTGGAGGGAGCAGCCATCTGAGCCAGTGTGTGGTCAGCACAGAACCCACCACGGTGGTTCATCTCCTGCACCCTCTGTAGACACTTGGTGCCCGACCCCTTCTCAGAGCATCCTCAGATGCCTTTTATTTCCCCCCCTCAGGGACACCAGCCCCCACATCCTACAGCTCTAAGCAACAGCATCCCTGCCGGGCCAGCTTCCCCTCCGGGAGCATCCCTCAGCCCTACCACAGGGCTCCTGCGATGGCTGGGTGTCCCCCCTGAGGACCAGGGCACCTCTCCCCATCGGTGGTGTCACGGCTGTCCCCAGGACCCTGTCACCACCCCTGCTTTGCATAGGCACAAACCTGTCGTGGGACCGGTGTCGCAGACAAGGCTGAGATAAGGACAGCCCCAAAGGCACATCGTCGTTCAGTTTGGATTTGCAAAGGCCAAGTAGCAAACATTTGGTGTGTAGGGAAGAGCGTTGCCCCCCTTCCCCCCCAAGCTCCCCCAGATTCCTCGATTCTTCTCCCAAAACGCTCGTACCCCAGCACAAAAAGCACACCCAGCAGAGACCGTGCTGGAACCGCTTCCTTGGGCTGCTCAAAGCAACGGTAGCAACTCATTTGGCAAAGTTAAAGGCTATAGAAGGTAAACAGCACGGGCTGGGACATTTTGGCATCGCGGAGCTCAACGGAAACTCTGTCCTTGGGAACCTCCTCCGTGGAGAAGGCTCCCTCCTCTCCCCTTGGCCCTTTGCCTGGCAGAACAAGGCGTTGGTGGCCAGCGGCAGAGAGGGGCTGCACCTCTGCAAACCCCATCCCCCCCCCAAGTCCCCCCAACCTTGGCAAGGTGACATTCCAGGCTGGCTGGGACAGAAGTGGAGCTGGCCGAGGAGCCCTGCACAGGTCCTGCCACAAGGCGTGGAGAGGGCTTGTCCTCCCCAACTCATCCTGGGCTCACACAGGACATCGTGCTCAGCCCCATAACACCACAAACTCAAAGCCATAACCAAGGGGATGGCTGGGACTGAACTCAAAAGCGAAGGGAGACCATCTCTGGAGCACAGGAGCTCCCCTGGCAGAGGCTGGAGCTGCCTCTTGGGGAATAACCCTCCATCCTGGGAAAAAACCTCCATCCTGGGAATAAGCCTCCATCCTGGGAACAACTGGGGACCCAGCACCAGCTTCTCATCTCACCTGAGAACTGCTCTGCCACCAGCCATGGCAGCAAGTGCCACTGTGGGGGGCTGATGCATTGGGGGGGTGAGTCAGGAGTGCCTGTACCCCCAGTTTGGTCCATTTATCTCTGCATCCCTGTGTGTGTGACAACCAGATGCCCATCCCGGTGCCAGGTCAGTCACCCAGCAGGGGTGTCCACCCAGCAGACACACCGAGTGGCCACCCCAGGGACACCGGTGGGACAGCCCTCCTGCGCACTGGGACCTGGCAGACTGCAGCCTTCTGATCTCCTCCCAGGAAAGAGTTCAGTGTTAACAGAACCAAAACGACCTCAAACGCCACTAAACTCTGCCTGAACCACTGCTGCTAATTTTGGCTTGTAAGAGTCATCTACAGAAGGGAAAAAGACCCCTGTCTCTGTAAAAAAGCCATTATTGGTTGCAATTACAAGCCAAAATGAAGACCCTCAGCTGCTGGCACAGGATGGGAAGATGAAGAGCAACCACAGGCTCCCCCGGCTCCTCAGGGAACAGCAGCCCCAGGTACCCACTGCCTGGCCTGTCCCTTCTCCCTCTCCTTTCCTCCCGTCCCACTGCTCCAGACCACTCATGCGGGTGTCCTCAACTGGCTTCTGAGCCCCTTGGCTGGAGAAAGATGTGGGTGATGAGTGTGAGCCCAACCCCATGAGCATCCCAGGCGGGGAGGGCTCCCTCACCCCCGGCTCTGCCCAAACTGCAGCCCTGACCTTGCAGACAGCCAGCAGCCCCAGTAGCAACCTACCTGCTGCTGGGAGGGTTTGTGTGTTCTGCAAGACTTAAAAAAAAATCATCTTCCCTGACTTGGTCCCTACAAGAGCCTGGAAACTGCTGAATGGGAGCGGGAGATGCTGGTGATGCTGGGATGAGGCAGAATAGCGGTGCTGGGCTGCACAGTGACCTGGGCTTTGCTTTCCTCTGAAGGTCAGGTCTCTGCAAGGAAGCCAGATGCTCTTGCTGCCTCCTAAGGCAGGACCCTGCCCGGGGGGGCAAGGAGGTACCCACTGCCAACCACCCCTTGCTCCCTAAGAGGCACCTTTGATGCCCCATCTCATCAGTGGCACCCAGGATTCAGTCTTCCCCAGACTGGGTTCATTTCCCTCCCTCAAAAAAGAGAACCAAAAAAAAAAAAAAAAAGGATATTTCCTTAATAAAAAATGTAAACAATATTTCCCTATCAGCTGGAAACCACAACAGAAATGTTGTGGACTTCACCATCATTGGAAGTGACCTTGCCCAGGGGGGTGGCTGGGCTGAATGTACCCTGAAAACCCCCGTGTGCAGCCGCCCCCCAGGGCTGGGAGCAGCGGCTGCCTCATTTGGATTGATTAGTGGCTCCCCACGGCTCACAGACAGATTCGTGGGGAGCCCAGAGGAAAGAAAAGGATCTCCTTATCCTCTCCCCAGTATAAGCCTGGCCCATCACCCCCTCTCCCCGCTGCCAGAGCCCCAGACCTTGTCATCATCTGCTGTTTCCAGCTGTAAAGCAAAGAAACCCACGCACAGTGAAGCCTGGCTCAAAACATGCCAGCCCATCACCCCTGGCACCACCAGAACCCCCGCTCCTGGAGAATGGCATCAGCCAGGGCACGGGCTCCAGGAGGGGATGAAGAGAAGAAGCCAGGAGGGATCCATGGACCCGCTGGCAGTTCTTGAGCAGGTTTCACTGCGTCTTTCTTAAGCCCCTCTGGACACGAGTCCCAGCAGGTCCCAGGCGTTGACTTGAAGAAAGAAAAACCTGATGGAAGAGGTGGGCAAAGCTGAGGGAGAGGCTGAAGGGCCCTTCTCCCTCCTCAGTATTGCCGTAGGTTGAAAAACCCGACGCTGGTGGGGGACTCCTTGACCGTCACTGTGATCAGGTTAGCGGTGACGTCGGTGACAAAGACGTGCTCGATCAGGCTGCGGGTGGGTTTCCAGTCCTGGCTGGTCTGGATAGAGACAGACATGTTCTGACCCACACCGGGGAAAGAAGCCGAATCCCGGTCCGAATCCGAGCTGGTCTCTTCTCCCGTGCTCACTTCGGAAAGGGCGGCCGGCTTGCGGCTCTCCGTGGCCACGTGCCCCTCCTGTGTGCCACCTGGGCCACTTTTGGCCAAGTCCCTGTCGCCTGCCCGGTGTGCCTGCTTCTCGTTCTTGCCTCCATCCCCTCCTGAGAGCACCCCGGTGCCGGTGGCATTCAACCCGGTGCCCGCCGTGCCACCCTTCGCCCCGCTGGCCCCCACGCTCGCCGCCGGGCCACCGCCGGAGCCTTTGGCCATGGCACCGCAGAGGTGACGAGGGAGGCTGTTCCCTCCAGCCCCATTTTTGACGCTCTGCAGGTTTAGAGCCTGGAGGTTCAGCTCCTGGCTGGAGGCCGCCTGGTTGCCAGCCCCGGATGAGCTCGCCGGCATCTTGCTGCCGTTGTGCAGCGTTTGGCTTCCAGCAGCAAACCCCGATTTCTGGTCCCCTCCGGCACCGCTGTTGGGAGCTTTGGTGGCTTTGGGTCCCTGCACGCTCAGCCCGAGCTCCCCGGAGCCTTTCTGGTTCCTCATTTTTAAATCCAGCCCCAAGCCCCCCTTACTGGCCGCCTGAGCCTTCAGCGCCAGCCTGCCCAGAGGGGAGGACTCGGCCGAGTTCTGGTTTTGGGACATCCTGTTCATGTAGTGCACGATGGAGCTCTGCCAGCTGATGGCCCGGCTGGGGCTGGTGGAGCCGCTCTTCATCATGTTGGGCAGGTTTTCTGCTGATGACCCCCCCGAGCTGAGCCCGGCCAAGGAGCCCGGCGCGTCCTTCAGCACGGCCATGCCTGAGCCCTGCTGGGGCTGCAGTTTGCCCAACAGCTTGGCGCTGCCACCCACCTCCTTCCGGGACGTTTTCAGCACCTTTGTCAGGTTCACGGTCCTTCGAGCCGCTTTCTGCTCCGGGGGAAGAGGTTTCCGCCCACGCTTCTTCCTGGAAGCATCTTTCATCTCAGGCTTCGCCACCAGGATCTGAGCTTTCTTCTGCGGTACCGGGTGAGTCTCTCTGCTGCGGGGACCTCTCTTTGCTTCCAGGTCGCTATCATCTTCTTCATCAGAGGAGGAGGAAGAGGAGGATGTGGAGGAAGAGGAGCTACTCGACTTAGTTTTTGCAGGCATCTCTGGTTCCTGTGAAGCAATGGAGAGGGACTGAGGGAAAGAGTCAACCAAAAAGTGGCTCCAGGTGTCGCAAACCCTTCTGTGGTGCCTGGATGGGGACCTTGGGCACAGGCAGGTTCCTTCTCTGTGTTGGTAGATCTGCTCCACCTCTGCCAGAGAATGGGTTTGGGAGCACACAGTACAAACCCAACCAAGCTTAAATCTTAAATCTCTGCTCTCTCCTACACCATCACCATCGCAGCAATGAAGATCCATCCTCCTCACAGGCACCCTCTTCAACCCACCCATTGCTGCAACCTTCAAAGCCCCTCACCAAGGGGGGTGCAGGCATCAGAGTGTCCCCACCACCCTCCGGAGCCTGAGCACCCACCTCACCCTGCGCTGGGGGCAGACACTCCCTGGTGCCTTCCCAGGCCAGAGCCCCTCCAGCCCCATCACACCCCTGGATTCCCACCACCCCCAGGACTCACCACGTGTTTCCTGGGCCTGCCCCTGGGCCTCTTGCCCCTCTTCCGATTCTGCACCTCTTTTTCGTGTTCCCTGAAAAAACAACGATTAAGGACAGTGTTTGCGGGGAAGAAAAAACCATCCAAAATCATCCTGGTTCCTCCCTTTCTTCCATCACCGTTCCCTTGCTCGGGAGGCTGAAGGCTCAGCTCCCATTCCAGCTCTGGAGCAGCGTTGGGAGGTGTCCATGACCCCGACCAACGTGTGATGATCTTACAGGCTCCGGGGACACCAGTTCCTTGATGCCACACTCGAGCACAGTCAGAGAGCCCCAAAACTGTACGGAGACCCAGGGACTTGTGCAATTAAACCTCCTCCACGTGGCACCCAGACTATTTACCCTGCGGGACTAACAGAGGTCACTGGGAGACCCGGCCCACGAGTAACGATGCAATGCAAGAAAAAGAACTACAAAGTGAGGAAAAGGTTAAAAAAATGGTGGCCTTGGAACAAGGACAGACATCTGGCCGTGGGGGTACCCAGCTGGCTCGGTGTTGGAGGAGAGGAGACAGGGAGAAGAAAGGGAGAGGACCTCTCCTGGGTACAGCATGAAACTGAGCTGCACGGGGGGCTGAGATGTATCTGCCAAACTCATCACAGAGCCCAAACCCTCTGCCAGGCAGGACCAGAAACATCCTGCTACAACGAGATGGGGCAAAGGGAAGATCTGCCCCTTCTCTGCCTTACTCAGACACCCGGGGAGCTGAGCTTCCCCCCTGTTCCAAGTGAAAGCCAACAGGCTCCCTGCAAATTCTGCAGGTCCTCTCCTTCCCCGGGCACCTTTTGTGGCTCCTGCACCTCCTGGTCTGGACGTGGTGGCCCAGGCTGGCAGCCACGCCGTGCCCGAGGGGATGGCAGGGGGAATGTTTTCACAGCACTGTCCTATTTCACAGTCCCCCCTTTTAAAAAAGACTCCTGTTAAGTGACAATACATATAGCTAATTAAACCCCGGGCTGTCTGCACTAACCACCGGATTCCATTCTTGAAAAAAAAAAAAAAAAAAAAAAAAAATGGATCCAGAAACAAGTTATAATTAAATCCTATCATAAACTTTAATGATTTTTATTAATACGGAGCCAAAATATTTGGCAGCGCTGTGCGTACCGTAGCCAGCTGGCCAGTTTGCACCCCCGTGGGTGATTCCTGCTGTATAAAAGCTGCAGAACAACCGCCGCCCCCCCCTCAGCTTGGGGCAGGGACCCCAGCCCTGAGAGAGGACACCATCTCCTCCCACCCGTGACTCCCTCACCCTCTCAGAGCTATGTCCTCCTCGAGTACATTTTGGGTGCCTTCCACCGTTCCTGCCATCCCAGGTGCCGTCTCCCCCCCAGGGCCTGCAGTCCAACCCCCCCCAAGGCATGGAGAGGATGAGGAGGGAGAGCCAAAGATCTTTGCTGGGGTCCCATCGCGTGGCCAGTGCAAACCTGGACCCTCCAATGGACCACAGATCCTCTGTGTGGACCCCAGCCCGGGCGAGACATCCGAGCTGGACCTGAGCTGTAATTTCGGGAGGATGAACAAAAGGGCCGTGCCACAAAAGGCAGGGGCGAGCTTCAGCCTCTTGTTTCCCCCAACTTCCACCGCACGCGCAGCCAATTAGAAGTTAATTGACTTGATCGCTCGCTTCCAAGTATTTCTAGTTTTGCTCACTTCTTTTGGAAAGCCAGGAGGAGTCTTGGATCAAGGATGTTCTCCTCGGGCTCCCAGCTGTTGTGCCTGCAACACAAAACAGGGGCTGGGCGAGAGAGCTGTGGGGGGGGACGATGGTGCACCCCGCCACCCCCCCCCGTTACCGGCGAGTTCATCCGAGGACAAACGGCCCCTTCGTGCCGCCCTCCCCGAGCACCGGGTCCGGTGGGACCGGGGGCATCCCCTCCCCGGGAGCCGGTACAGCCCCGTCCCCGCGGGGGGGGAGGGCAGGGGGAGA